GTACTTTCTCTCTTATCCCTTTTTTCTTGCTTTAAATTTTATTTATTGTCCTTTGTTTTTACTTTATTTTTTAATTTCTTCTGCCATTTTTACATGGATACTTTACAAGGCTTGAGTCATCTATCAATCTGAAGGTGGGAGCACATAATATTTAGAAGATTTAAAGTTCAAACACTATAGAACATTTGAAGCACCAGGAAACGTTTTTTTTGGTTCTTTGATTTTTTACTATATCAGTGAAACATCTAGAAAAAAATGATATTGAAATTGATCATCATCCCTATGGACGACCTGAATTCACCAAAGTTTATTAATTCTTGCTTTGAATTTAGTTTATAGATATTTGAAATTTGATAGTTTTGATAACAACAACTGAATTGTAGTACTAGGATGATTGTGATAAATAAACTATTAGTTTTTTTTTCTCTTTTTCATGATAAGGCACAAATTTCTATTTTATTTCTTATTTTCTTCAAGTATCAAAAGAAAAACTAAGCGAGTTCAACATGGGAGGACCTAATGGAAGACAAAAACATTTGAGAATTGAGTGAAATAATTTGGGCAATGCATTGAAATTTATTTTTTGTTATGTTACTTCCAATGTTTGAATTAAGTTTTGAGAGATTGATGCTAGCTCATATTAAAAAAAATAATTACATTTTCAGTTTTATAATTTTATTTTTTTCGTTTCTTAAAAGTTATTTTCTTCTTTTATTTATTCTTTTTTCTCATTTTATATGAAGCAAGAAAACTTACTTTCATAACATCAAAGAAAAAAAACTGTTGGGCTTGTTCATCAAAAAATATTTAGAATCAGTATTAGTAGAATCTTATTTTATTTCTGATTTCTTCTAAATCATCAAAAGACATGTTTATCTTGCCACACCTTTATCCAATAAATATAACTTTAATTGTAACATTTAATGAATATTATTTTTGATGGTAAATAAACATAAAACAATTAACAATAGAATTATGCTTATTTATTATTAAATTCATGAATGAATAAATATTATTTCCTATTTGATCAAGAATATAATTAAATATAATTTGAGGAAGAACTTAAAATAATAATGACAAATACCCACAAAAATTCGAGGAATGCTTTTGAATCTCATTATTTCGAATTTCATAGTTTAGTGAGATTATTATTATGTATATTATTCTATAAATTATCAATATTTACATAAATTGACACCATAAGAAAATGAGTGGTTAAGACATTTAGATCAATATGAAATCATAGAGCAAAATATGGGTATGAAAACTATATAACCCTATTAAACCTATGATTTACATGATCACATCAAAGTAATCATTAAAATTAAACTCCTCATTTTAGTTAAAATGATTTTATAAATATCAATAAATATATGTTATAAAATTATTTTAAATATTTTAAATATTTTAAATGATTTAAATTATGATTATAAGTATTTATAATCATGATTGAAGAAGTCTACTTAATGATTGATTTTTATTTGAGATGATTTAGATAAGTTTTGATTGCTAAACAACTATTTTATTTCAACAATATTGAATTCTTACCAAACTCAATTGAATTGATATACTTCAAATACAGACATTATAATTTAATAGAACCATGTATTTATTTCTTATCAAGATATAAAATTCCTTAAAGGACATTATAATTTAATAGAATCATGTATTTATTAAATGATTTTAAATACTTTAAATTACATAAATTATGATTAGAATTATTTATAATCATGATTGAAGAAGTCTACTTAATTATTGGTTTTTATTTGAGATTATTTAGAAAAGTTTTGATTTCTAAATCACTATTTTATTTCAACATTATTGAATTCTTACCAAACTCAATTGAATTGATATACATCAAATATAGACATTATAATTTAATAGAACCATGTATTTATTTCTTATCAAGATATAAAACTCCTTAAAGGACATTATATTAGTTGTTTAATCATTCTAATTTCTAACTATTTTTAGAAATATAAACCATGATAGAGGACAAAAAATAAAGGAGGCTTTCAACTTTGAATTATCTAGAAATGCAATACCTTTCCAAGATCTACATAGGTTTAAATGATAATCTCTGACCCCTCTAAAATTTGAAGTGTTTAGTTAATATTTTCTAAAGAAAGTTCTATGAGCAGTCATGAGGCATTTTCTACTAGTCAAACAAAATGAAGGGAATGTGTTGAGTAATTATTTCAAGTGATCAAAGTCATAGTACTATCCACCTTCAGCTAACATATTTACAAAAAGAGGACAACAAAAAATCAAGTCTTGATCATCAATTTTGTAGTTCAAATCCTGGATGCATTATAACTTAACATCATATTTTGAAAAAAGACTCAAGGTAAAATCTTTCATATTCGTTCTGACACAAAATTGTGATTGAATCTTCATGTTATTACTCTAGAGACCTTACCCATTAATCAATTGTTAGCATAATGTAGTCATGAATTTAAAAGAAAATTTAAGAGTGAATTAGTTTGACAATTGAGCCTAATAATCAATAGTTGACATTGAAATGTTTAATTTAGTGGAACTCAAGAATAAATTTGTATATGTAGAGTGGACATAGGTAAGGGGTAGAACCACTTAAAAATCCTTTAGCTCTAGTCGTTTATAGCCTCAAATAGCATATGACATGGAACTTTGAAGAGGATTAGGGATTTCAGGAAAAGGTGGTATAAGTCAAGATTAGAAAATGATCAATTCAACCACATTCCCCCTTTGATCTAAGTGCACCTAAAATCCAACAAATGTTTTGTGGTAGGATTCAAAGCATAGGAACAACATGTAATTACTAAACCTAAATGCATAGGTTGTTCAAGTGTAGCCCACTAGTATGCTTAGATGACCAACATAATAATAATAGAGCCATTAAGGCCCAAACACCAATGTAACCTAAATAAAAGAGAGTCATTAAGGCCAAACATCAGTACAACCCAAAGCAAAAGAACTATTAAGGTTCAAAATAGTGAGGAGCTCATGTTGAAGAGACCTATTAAAGGGTGCAATCCAGCCCAATAAGCCCCAACATAAAAGGAGAATTTTGCCCTATATTAGGACATAGAAATCAAACCAAAAATTAGAGGAGAGTGACTTTCATTGCAACCCTTATCCTCCACATTGACATCTGAAATCAACATCCTAGAAGCTTATATTTGAAGAAAAAACTCAAAGGGCTTCTTCTCCTATTAGCTTGCTTCAACGTAATCCTTCGACATAATAAAATTTTTCCATCTTCTATTGAAGGTAATGGCAAAAGTTATTTTATTTGTTTCTTTGTCTCTTTGCTTTTTGGTTCAAAAGTGTTGAACACTGAGGCACCTATGGTGTGCTTGCAATATGGTTCATTTATAATATCTAGAACCTAGGATTCTAGTGGTCAATACATGCTTGTAAAGCCTAGATTGTATGAGTGGCTGCTACTAAGAAATTAAGTGTATTTTAGAGACTAAAATAGGGATTGAGATTGTAATCTCCATCTCTCTAAATATTAATATTAGATTAAATTTAAGAATATATTTAAAAAATATAAAACATTTTTTTTTAAATGTATGGTAAGTATCAATTTATCCCCCTTTCTTGATTTTTCATACTTGTAAAATATGACTTATAATTAGTATCAGAGCAAGCTTATCTAGAGATCTCACCAATCTCAAAGAGTACATCAATTGACTAATAGTCTAGCGAGTCAGATTTTTTGTGGACAATTCATCATTTGGCTTCATCTCTTGATTGGATTAAATTTCTCCTAATGAAGAAATAAAATGAAAAATTGTATTCAATCATATAACTTAAATGTTTGGATTATAATTGAGGAGGATTCCAAAAGTCACTTAAGGCTTCTCAATAGTAAAATAATACATATGCTACAAGTGACGTTAATAAATTTCAGAAACTTTCAACATGTTTGGATTATAATTGTCGATGTTAATAAATTTCAGAAACTTTCAACATGTGTAATAGTTAAAGAGATTTGGGATTAGTTGCTCCTACTAGCCTTAACTAGATACCTATAAATAGAGCATAACTAGGAGGCGCATGAGTGACAACTAACTTTAAAAAGTACAACCTTTCTTTTTATAAGTCAACTCCATCTCTCATCACTATAGTCGAAATTACTATTTATGTCCATTATAACCTTTTGTTATAGTATTCTTCAACCTTGGACAATTGATACTATTGATTGCAAAATATTATCTTAAAATGGGTTTAATTTTTCGAAAATTAAGAGGAAATAAAGTAGCTTGTACACTAACCAGTTTATTCAGCAATAGGACTGAGGTAATAGGTAGGAGACATCATTGCAAACTCCCCATTCTTCTATCTGATCGATTATATCACTGGCTGTTGGTTTTTGAGGTTCTTCATTAGCATGATGGTCCATTGTCTCCCAAGTCACACTGCTTCAGAGAAGATGCGGCCTGGTGCTTGTGGGGCTTTCCATCCCTAACCTTCTCTCTTTCCCCTCAATCAAGCTACTAGAGGACTGAAGACTCTAGATTAAGATATGATCCCTTGTTCACGAAGCTATTCAATCTCATCTTTATCTTCTTTAGAGTGCTCTTTCTATCTCCAGAAGTGTGTTAGAATCTTGAGTGCTGGTTTTGGGAGGTAATGTATGGCTTTATAGGTCCGTTCTCGTCAGTATTATTTGGAAAATAAATGTTGGGAGTGAAATGCTGGGAAATATAAATAATGAAATGCCTAAGTGGTAGTGAAATGAGAGTGGTTGAAGAAAATAATACATCTAATTCCTGTGAAGTCAAAACATAATTTTAAATGAGATTTCACAATTAGATAAGAACAGATAATAAGCTCATAGTATGTTCAATCGATTTAAGGCAAAATTGCTCGTAAACTAGTTTCCATTCACATTTGTTCATCATCATGTGACTTTTCTATCCGGCAAATTAATAAGTTCCTCCTTATAAGTCACAGCAATCAGATGTGAAAATTGTCTCTTTATTAGGGTAAGTTGGGGGAAAAACCGACGCTCACCGCCCGTCGCCAACGACGTCGTGGAGCATCGCGGTGGTCGACCTGGGCGAGGCCACCATGCTGCCCAGATGCGACGGCTCGTTGACCTGGCTGGTGCTGGCGGTCAACGGGTCCGATTCGGGGTAGTCGCTGCTGGCGAAGGTTGTACTGAGGTCGTTGAACTGCCAGTCGGTGAGGTACCCGGGCTTCGATACCACCTTCCCCACCTCGATGTCGCCGGTGAGCATCGCCACCGCCCGCGACGTCGGCGGCCGCTGCGCCGGCGCCGACTGCGTGCAGAGCAGCGCCACGCCGATCACCGCGAGCGCCTCCTCCTTGTCGTACGCCGACAGGGATGGGTCCACCAGGTCCAGCTCCTGGTTGCTCTCGTGCAGCCGCCACGCCTGGGTAGAGAGAGAGAGAGAGAGAAACACCCGTCATCATCCACCCCAAATAAGGAAAGGTTCTCTCTCCTCTATCCTCCTTCCACGCACCCATTCGAGGAGATAGACTTTGTCCGCCGGTAGGCTCATGTCCGTGTTGGGCCTCCCGGAGACGATTTCCAGGGCCAGCACGCCGAATCCAAACACGTCCACCTTCTCCGTCAGGTGCCCCCTCATCGCGTACTCCGGAGCCAGGTACCCACTACGCAGAATAGATAGATAGAGAAAATAGAGAGGTAAGAAGATCAGAAGAACCGCGGAAAGGTAGAAGAGAGATGGAGGACTGAGTTTTGATTCGTCTGAGGGGCGCTGACATTGTGCCGGCGACGCGGGTGCTGATGTGGGTCTTCTTGTCGTCGTAGAGTTTGGCGAGGCCAAAGTCGGAGATCTTGGGGTTGAGCTCAGCGTCGAGGAGGATGTTGCTGGCCTTCACGTCCCTGTGCACGATCCTGGAGCTGGACTCCTCGTGGAGGTAGGCCAGCCCCCGCGCTGTCCCCAAGCAGATCCTCATCCGGGTTGACCAGTCGAGAACCAACTTCCTCGTCCCTGCATCGATTTTTTGAGCGAGCGAGCGAGCGAGAGAGAGAGAGAGAGAGACAGACAGACAGACAGAGAGGGGGGGCGGAGGGACAGGGGGAGCGAAGGGAGGGAGGGAAAGAGAGAGAGAGAGAGAGAGAGAGAGAGGCAGGATGGGAGTGCGGTCACCGAAGAGGGCCTGGTCGAGGCTGCCGTTCTCGAGGTACTCGTAGACGAGGAGCCGCTTCTCCCCCTCGACGCAGCAACCGATGAGCTTCACCAAGCTCTTGTGCTGCACGGCGGAGATGGTGGCGATCTCCGCCACGAACTGCTGCTTCCCCTGGTGGGAAGACACCGAGAGCTGCTTCACCGCCACTACTCTCCCGTCTGCCATCGTCCCCTGAGCAAAACTCGAACCACCGATTCGGAAAAATGTCCTACTTTGGGGATCAAACTTAGGGAACAGGCATGAAGGCATTGCGGACCTTGAAGACGGGCCCGAAGCCTCCCTCTCCCAACTTGTTACCGGGGCTGAAGTCGTCCGTGGCGGCCCTCAGATCGCCATAGCTGAATATCTCTGCTTTGGAGCTGATCGCCCGGAGATCTGTTCCCATTGGCGAAAAAAAGATCATCAAGCTCAGGAACCCAGAAACAAAAAAGTAGTTTTTTTCTCATAAGCAGGGTGAGGATTGCGTCACCTTCGTAATCTCTCCACTCTGCGCGTCTTCTTCTCGATACGAAGTAGTAGAGGACGGAGAGGACAAGAAGAATGAGGAACGCCAAGACGCCGACCACGACCCCCACGATCAGGCCCGTCTTCTTCCCGGTGGAAGAAGAAGAAGGCGCGCGGACGGTGGGCGTGAAATCTGAGAAGACGACGGACAGTCGTGATTTAGAACAGGAGCTATCTTAAACCGTAGGATCTGAGATCGGAGAGGCGTACTGGGGGTGACGCTGATGGCGGAGATGGCCGGCCCGTAGTACCCTTGCGTGGGTATGCAGCAGGTGCCCTTCCCAGCCCAAAAGAAGTGGACTTCCAGGAAGTTGTCGGTCACCAGAGTTGTGTATCTCCTCACAACGGCTAGATTACTGCCGCCGGCCGCCCTCCTGATGTTAAAATCCTCCTCCCTGAGAATCCCCTGAAAGATTCCATTCGAGTTCGTCAAAAGATCGGCGTTGACTTACGGTGGTTCACGTTGACTTACAGTGGACTTTTCACTCACCTGAACGTAGACGTTGAAAACCCGCCGGCCGACGCTCTGCCACGTCTGCGTCTCAGGGAAAGCCGTCTCTACGTATTGCAGGGTTACGGTGTAGTTTCCATTCTCCAGGCCAAGGCCGTAGTATCTCAGGGAGGATGGAGACAACCGCGCCGACTGGAAGAGCTCGGTGTCCAGAGTGTTCGTGAACTGGTTCAGGACGCTCCAGGTGTAGTTGGGGCTGGGGGCGTCTGCGAATCTCCCAGTGCTGGAAACCCCCCACCTTTGGTCAGCGGAGACGTGATATGACGCGGTGGAGAGACCCTGGTCGTCAATTTCATACACGATGCCGTCGGAAGCCGTGATGCTTCTCCGGCCGCCACAATTTATTCCAAATGAGGAATCTGCAGAGCAAGAGTGAGTCTGAGCCAAAAGCTACTGTTCTGCGTAATGGGGATGAAGAAGAAGGCAACGGCAGAGGATTTACAGATTGGAGAGCCACGGTTGCAGGGTATATCCTGCTGCAGGCACTGAAAACCTGAGCCCAGCAGACTACAGAAGATTGAAAGAAAAAGAGTGCTGAGTAATTGTGGGCAGAATCCCATGTGCAGGAGAGAGAGAGAGAGAGAGAGAGAGAGAGAGATCGAGAAACCAAGACGCCGTCGAGCACCTGTTGGCTGAACCATTCAAGGAGAAGTTATTAGCCACCAAGTTCCTGGAGCAAAAGAGTCGCGAATGAATTCACTGCAGGAGAAACTAGCCTGGGCGTCTGACCGAATAATAAGTGACGTACAGAATACATGGAAGAGAGGACAAGAAACCTGAATGGAGGCCTATTTACCTCAAGTATCTCTCCTTTATGTTGGAACCAGAATTAAATATTAAAATGTTTTGGAAAGACGCGGTACGGTGAAAACCACTTACAGTTGCAAATTATTCTCCGAAACCCAAGATGGAAAGCCTCCCGAGAATTTATTGTACGACAGATCTCTGTAAGAAAGATTGCAACGAGTCAGCATATATGAACAAGAAGAGAGTAGTTGGGTGAGTTCAGTCGTTAGAATATTGTCATGCGAGTGATCAAGAAAGACATCATTGGAAGATCAAGCACGGGCATGCCAGTAAGATCACCAGAAACCAAGCAGTAGCCCCGAATGGAAATGTACAGAGCATTTGAGCCCCCCTATATTCTTTTAAAATGAAAATTGACCCCATGTATTTTCTGTGGACAAGGTGGTACTGAAACTCACCAGATGTAAGCTTAGTGGACGATGATGACGAAAATGATGCCAACGATGATGATGCAAAGCAATTTACACGTGGAATTCAATGCTAGTCGGCTAAGTGGACATACACATTTCTAAGAGTTGTGCTCTTCTGAGCCGGCAAGCCACCAGACAAGCTATTGTTCCCAAGAAACCTGCTCACCAAGAAGAAAAAATTGAAGGAGAGATAATCCATGGAATATAAGGACAGTGTACAAAAAAATAAGAAAACAAATCATCAAGATGCAACTTGGCACGAAAAAATTCTTACAAGAATTGAAGTGAACTCAAGCTGAAAAGGGACTCTGGAAGTTCCCCTGTTATATTGTTGAAGCTTAAATCCCTACAAGACCGTGAAGAAAACGAGGCAAACATTAGACTGATGACACTGACCCATCTGATAACCTAGCCTGAAAAATATATTAAAATCGACCCACAAAGACAGTAATCCTGTATATTGGCTGAAGTCTGATGGCATAGTATCTGAAATCCTGGCATTTCTGATGATCCTGCGAGAGAATATGACGACTACTATCATTTAAGTTCGTTAAAACCAAGATAACTGTAGGTTGTACGGGTCTGGGCAGTGACATTACAAGGTAGTCAGGGAAGTCATATTCCGCAGAAAATCTAAAGTTGAGCTCCCGTTCACAATGTCACCTATACGCCTGAATGAACAACCCACAAGAAATTAAAAAAATAGCATTGTGGTGACGGACCGTCAATCAGTTCTTGTGCCGTTAATGTGTCACGTGCTGACGAATATGAGCTATACAAACAGAACGCAAATAACTTACAAACTCTTTAATTTGTTGAGATTAGCTAAGCTTGACGGTATGGGCCCTTGGAAGGAGTTTCCTTGGAACCTCCTGCAACAAGATTTTCAGGGTTAGAAAGTCTTTCAACAGCGAGAGAGAGAGAGAGAGAGAATGGAATGACAAGGAATAGCTCCCATGCATAATGGACAGAGGATATGCTGGATTTTTTTGAATAACAGTGACAGATTGTAATTCAAAAACTATCTCCACAGATGAAGCTTACAGATCTTCGAGATTTGTGTATGTTCCAATAAAGTCTGGTATTTTCCCGGTGAAATGATTGTCCGAAGCCCAACTGCCACCAAGAGGAACTACGGCTGAGTACAGAACTTGAACTTTCAATCAAAAATATACTAAAATTTCGAGTATCTAACTTACATTGTCTTTAACTTCGTAAGATTAGAAAAGGATGATGGGATCTCACCGCTCAGCCCACAACTATCCATGTACCTGCCATTGAAAATATGGAGCAATCGTCTCATCTTCCCACTGAAGATGCTAGGTGCGAATAATTCATTGCGTGACTAGATTTGAAGGTTGCCATTATTGATTTTTCTATTCAACAGAGCACAAGAATACCAGGACTAGAATCAGCACTTACCATTGCTCTAAGTTTAAAAGGCTTCCAAGTTCCGGAGGGAGTGAACCACTGAAGTTGTTGGAACCCATCCCTCTGTACAAAGCAGAATAAATCAAGCTTATTTCACCGAATCTATATAGCTGTACAGTGAAACAGTAATATTTGGTAAAACGTCGTCAGAATCCTACGCCCACCATGTGACAGAGATGGAATTCAAAGCATCCAAAGCAATAGAAATATCGGCTTCCATGCGTATGGATCTTATGCGAAATACGTTTCCCATCAATTATTCATAAACCTTCTTCTTCCACGAAGATTCAGACAAAACCGAGCTTGGATGGAACTGAAGAGGCGAACGAATAAAAAGGCACTTGCGGGGTTTATTATTGATAAAGTAATAGGAGGTTATTCAGTAGCAATCGCAGGTTTCATTACTTTTCTTCCATTCTGTTCTCTCACCTATCAAAGGATAGCGAATGATCGATTCACAATTGAGAGCATTAACCCCAATTATATTGTTATAACAGGGGCACCTTCAACGTCTATAAGAAAACTCGGTTTCCATATGTCATGTTTCCAGACTAAATTAATAGTTTTCCTTCCAATCGAACAGTTGGAACAATCTGACTTGTTGATCATTGTTTATTATTCTAAACGAATTTTAGATAGGTTATTTTTTGCTTCTGAGTCCTGCCAGGGACCATTCTGCCGTAAAAGGTACCAACTTAAGGCTTGGAAGGTATTCTGCATCCTTTTAAAGTACTAGGACATAAAATACTTCCATAAAATCATTAAAATGTACAACTGTGGCTAAATGTAACATCTGACCATGAATATTAACTAGCAGACTTATCTAATTCCATAAATATTAACTCATTTTTAGAAGCAATAAAAAGGGCATAAAACATTTGAACGCGCAGAAAAAGAGGAGTTCCCAACTGTGACCAGCTTAGCGAGAAATCAAACATCATGGACAGAGATCTTACATTAAGACGAGACTGCTAAGCTGCCCCAGCTCTTTTGGGAAAGGCCCTGATAGTGCATTGATCCCAAAACTCCTGAAAAAAGTAAACAGAGCACCGTAGAGGTCAACCCTTTCTGCCCTGCAGAATTCTGATTACAGCCTATCACTTACATGTACTGCAAGGACGTAAGGTTCCCCAGGAATGCAGGGAGAGGACCGGTCAAATAGTTCTGATCCATGTTACTGCCAACATAGAAAATGGCGCATTGTCAGTAACTTTCAGTCGCTGTTTTATTCATAGGTGTCTTCATCCAAGGTCATCAGTCGAAGAAACAGAGGCAGAATGGGGCACATACATGTGGGTGAGTTGAGTCAGATTCTGGAGCTCCTCTGGTACGGTTCCGACAACATTGAGGGCATATATCTTCCTGCAAGGTCAGGGCAGATAGACAGATCGTCATTTTCCCCTCGGCATTGAGACCTTGAGATGAACGAGAACGGGGGTACGAACAATCTAGTAACGCGACAGGGAGCGCCGTCACTGAAGTTGCAGTTGCACGTGATGATTGGGTTGTTGTTGTCGTAGTTGCTTGCGTCGATCGCCAAGCCGCTGCACAGCTCGCCGCTGAGGTTCCAGCCGTTGGCTTTCCGGGACCAGCGCCTGAAGATGGCGTTCACTGCCTCGGCTGTCACCAAGGATCGGCGACGTTCACAAACCAGAACGAGTTAGCCTCACAATGCTCGATAGAAGCCCGAGCGCTTCTAAAATGCAGCAAATATTTCGGTCAAGCCGCATAAGTTTCAAAATGGACGGCGAAAAGCTTCGAACTAGCCAAAATTTATCTAGAATGGAGGTGAACAAAAATTCACACGCCACCGCTACCAAGAAATAGAAGTTCGACGACCGAAGCCCAGAGATTTGCGCATCTGAGCCAAAATAGTCCAGCGCCGATACCTTCTTTGTGCCGAGACAGGCTAATCAGGGTATCCGAGTAGCTAGGAGAGAGACCGGTATCGCTGTACTTGATCAAAACCAAGACAATTCGCCACCCAACCTCTCCTTAACTTCTTGGTTGAAGCCAGTGGGAGGGAAGAGGAACCGAGAAGGAGAAAGTTGAGAATTACGACTGGGGTTTCCGATTGGCTTGGTCGGAAGTGAAGCGGTCAAACCACGCATCCAGAGCCACGGTGGAAAGCTTGATATACAGAGGTTGAACACCCCCCCCCCCCCATTCTCCCTTTTTCACGCAGCCAGACAACAGGTGAATATCTAAGAGCCTCACCTTCGACCGGATCGGTCCTACTTGTTGCCGCAGGGGACGGAGCTGGAGCTTGTGCATGGCATCTAATGACAAGGAAGGGGAGCAGGAAAAACCAGAGACTGAGACTCAGACGAGATGGAGGCGTTGCCGCCGTCATGTCTCCAATCACTGCCCTTCCTCGGACCTTCAAACCAGAAGTAACAGAGGCTCACGGATTCCTACGCCTCTCCTCCTTCTGAGGATCTGGAAGATGAGAAAGAGAGAGAGAGAGTGGGTGGGAATGAGGGCGGGGAGGACAGCGGCTTACCATCTCGGTCGGAGGAGGGAGAAAGACATCCGGGGGCCACCAACTTGTATACAAAATTTTGACAAAAAGACCCTAACTACATCCCTTATCTTTTATTGACTTTTTTATCTTTTTATTTGTATTGATACTTTTTTGGTCTCGAAACTCGGCTAAATATATAATAATGTCAAAAATCATGACAAGGAAATACGCGAATCATCGGGTAAGAAGAGCCTATACTTAAATCTCATTTCTCTGTGGGATAAAATACAAATTTTCAGCTTTTACGAGGTTATGCGTGCGTCAAAATAGCGTGCATGGGAAGATCAGGTCAATCGTTGGCTGGGGCGCGTGGTCAACAGTCCACCGCAGCATAAAACCGTCCACCCACTTTCACGCTTGGCTGCCTCCATGGGGATCAGAAAACAATTGTCTGAGATTCAATGCCTTTTGAGTAAAGCTATCCTTTCTTTTCACAGGCCGGACCTTCCTCAGGCTCACCCCTAACTGATATCGATTTTTTAATGGTAAAAATATTATTTTAATAAAACAAACATTTAAAAATCTGGCCTACGTTCTCGAGTAATTAATTGTAAAATTGTAGATTAATTGTCTTCTTCAATGGTCAAGGGACTCGGTCTTTTCAAACAATTTTAGAAAAGCTCGGTGTTATCATAAACTATGAAAACAATTTTGTGTTTCTAAGAGGTTCCATCTGTCCACATCACCCCCCGGGTGGTCAGGTTTGTCGGCCAATTTATTAAAATAACCCAATACGACTTCGGACCGCCGTGATTCAGACTTACACACGACAGCCCCATGTCTGTGTCACAATTATTTTCGAAAATTGGGTTTTATGTAATTTGCAATCTCATCCCCGCCGCCAACTCCACACGTGGACCATCAATGGACAGATGTTGAGACGTAGTCAACTTGGTGAGAAGCGAAGGAGACGGAGGAGCGTACGACTGCGTCTTTAGCGCACCAGCCAACCCCATTAATTGCGCATCAGTGATGAATGTTGACCCACTTGATTTACAATTGATTGACTTATTGATTGCGTACAAACCCTAAACATTTGGCAATTTCCTAATGGCCTTGATCATTTTATTTCAAATATTTCAGGAAATCATTCAATCTTGCTTTAGCTAACTTCTTCAGACTAGCCTAATCATTTTCATCATCTCGTCCTGCATCACATATTTGTCTTCTGCATTGGATCTAGCCAGAAACATATTTGACCAATAATTTGTGGGCTCGGTTAGACCAATCATGTGGAACTCATTTGTGGGCCCAACAACCTACTACAATACCTTGGCCCACTTAAATCAATGATAAACAGTAGTAACTATGCTATTATAATGGAGCTCTCCTCTGGTATGGTTCCGACAACATCGCGGGCATATATCTTCCTGCAAGATCAGGTCCTCACGGATTCTTATGCCTCTCCTCCTTCTGAGGATCAGGAAGATGTGTGTGTGTGTGTGAGAGAGAGAGAGATAGTGGAGATGAGAGCAGGGAGAACAGCTGCTTACCAGGTCGGAGAGGAAGGGAGAAAGGCATCCGGGAAACACCAACGTATGTATGAAAGTCAAAAATTTACCAAAACAACTATGTTCTTGTCTTTGATTATAAACAAGTGTTTTACCTCTAATTATAAAGGCTTATCTCTCATTGAGTTTCCAATGAAGCTCTAATTACATAATGCAATTTAGAAACCCCTTCATAGTAGACATCCCACCACAGGTAAGAAAACGGATGATCCAAGCATGTTGAAAGCATCCATGGAAGCCACCTTTAATGTCTCCCTGATGTGTGAATTTGCACAACTTTGATCCCATGAGTAGTCACCAGCATGAAAACATTCGGTAGAAAAATTATAATTTAATAGGAGTTTTTATTAGCCATGAAATTATATTCCCACCAAACTTCCTAGATATGTTTTCAGCAACATTGACTCATTAAATATTGATGAAAAAAAGTTCGCAGAAACATAGCAGCTAACAAAAGAACAAGAAATTTCAGAGATATACGAGGTGCATTGCTCAAAATTTGGGAGACATAGACCCTCCATTGGAGAGAGTTGCCAGTGGCATCAGGGGACCCAGTGGCAGGCCCCTTGAAAGCTAGCCAGCTCCAAGCCTGGTTGGCCCCTATTTGTGTGATTGATCACAGCTACCTTGGGAAGCTGCTGTGCAACCCTGTCCCCCCTCCCCCTTACCCACCCCCACCCCTTACTCACACAGAAAGAAAAGGAAAAAATGAAAAATATTTTGAGAGATTCTCCCTTTCTTTTGGGGAGCACCATTGGTTGGGCATGGCAGGGAGCAAGACTACTTTCCTAAAGGGGGGTTATAAGGGTGATATTGGTTGATACAGAATCAGCCACAACCACCTTGAGGACGGGCTGACTTCCCCAGGGAGACGACCTTTCAGAGGCATTAACCAACTAATCCAGAGACTAGGGTTTTTGGAGACACTAACCAAGTAATCGCCAGACATAAAGTCATTAAATGAACAATCTTATTCTCGGCGAAAAACTTCAAGATATGCATACATTTCACCTTCGTCCACGAGGAGTGCAAAGGTTCTCTACAAGATGAAACCATTATACAACACAGGTCTTGAGGATCTCACATCAAGAAAATAATATCAACATGAAACATCTATGGATATGGCAAACGGAAATAAACCATCACATCATCCCAAGAGAGAGAAGATACCTTGGGGGCATAGCATACGCTTGCAAGAATCACAGGAAATCCCCTATTCTTCCAGCTTCTTTCTCAGTATCTCGAGTTGCATGGCATTAGTTTTTGCTTCCTCTAAGGTGCCCGACAGAACTGGAATGTAAAAATAATAATAATAAAAAGGAATACAACATAGGGAGACTTTCCAGAAAGACATAGCACACATAAATATAAGGAAATCAGACTCAAAACATGCTAGAGAGTATCGGCCCTTGCAAGACTGGTTGGAGAGTACGTGCACACAAGACATAATCTCAACCTAGGAGGGGACACCCTGGAGGAGACCTGGGCATCCGGAGTGGTGAGAGAGCTCAGGGAGATGAGGTGCAGGTACTCCCCGAGAAGCCGGTGGGTACCGATAGGGAAGGAGCGGTGCACCGAACCAGCAGGATGCTTTCTGACGAGGTGCTTTGACCTGCCCATGAGAACGCTTGAGTGGATGAAGTTCTGAAAGGTCTATCGCCTTACAACAAAGTGGGCCCAACTTATTCGAATGCCTCCACATAAAGACTGCTACACAGCCGAAATTTGTGAAGGAATTATGGGACAAGGTTAGTCATGTTCATTCTACTAAACATGACGAATCTCAAATTTATAGATTGGTACAGAAACCTCTGACTTTAATACAGGGAACATTGACTGTTTTGAAATATGCTTGCGAATTGGAATCTATCTAGAGAGAAATCGACCACTATAGACCAATCAAGATGACTCTAGTAAATCAGATCTTTACTTGAAAAATAGTATCAAATATTGAAGTGATAGTTGTATTAGCTAGACAAGAAGAAAATACTAGAAATTTGAGAAATGATTTAAAGATAGAAAATTTTACATTTAGCACTTTCAAGGGAAAAGAGACCTCTATATTAAAAAGGGGGATAATAAAGTAATATTCATCAAAGAAGATCCTAAGACTGATCTGAAGACACACCTATTTTGTACTTATTGTAAGAAAAATCGTCACACTAAGGAGACATACTTGAAGATCTATAGCAAACCACCAAATTATGGTAAGTTACATTTGGCCAATGCTCAAAATGAAGATGGTGTTGATCCCATGATTCAAGGAAGAGCTAGTCAAGATGGATCCATTTCCTCTCAACCTTTAGATATTGGAAAACTCAGTGAAGAAATTGAATAACTGAAGAGCATGATCAGTTCCACTTCCCTCACACATACTAGTAAGCATTTTCTTAACCATTTTCTTAAACCTCATCATTGGCATCACTTTTACCCAAAAAAGTGTCATGAATCATTGATTCTAGAGCTATTGATCATATGACACCATATGCATCACTATTCATAACATATGAGATATGTACCAATAATCGAAAGGTTGTTAGTGCAAGTGGGAATTTGTTACCTATAGCTGATAGTGGATCAATTCATCTAAAAATATTAGGGTCACTGAGATATGTCCTTCATATTCCAAAATTGAATGCACATCTATTGTCATTGAGAAAATTAGATAAAGATTTGAATTGTCTGATATTATTTGACAATGATTTATTTTTTTTAATGACAAGACCTCGAGCATGAGGATTAGGCATGTTACAACACAAGATGGACTCTACTACACAAGACACATAGACAAGACATTATTAACGAATTCCAATTATTTTGATTTTTGCTTATGCTTCTCCCTTGAAAAAATTATTATTGTTGCATTGTCGTTTAAGACATTCATCTATAAAAGTACTTCAATACTTATTTCCAAAACTATGTCATGCAATTGGTGAATCTAATTTCATATGTGAACCTTGTCAAATGGTTAAGAAGTGACGAGTTTCATTTTCCTTTGCTGAAAATAAAAGTTTGATATATGGGGTCCTTCATCTAGTGGTGTTAGGGACTTCAGATGGTTTATCATCTTTCTAGATGACTCTACTAGGTTCACTGACCTTTGTCCCCATGTTATTCAGCCGTGACTAGATAGTCAAAAAGAATCTCAAACAAAGATTTCCTGATGTGGTCCAAATAACAATTTTTGTTTAAAAAACTGAGGATAACTACAACTATCAAGAAACGACAATGGTGTATTCACATACGTCTACCACCATCAAGAAATGACAATGATGTATTCGTAGTCGTCCTACCACCATCAAGAATTGATGATGATGT